AGCTGGAAGTGTTACAACTGAGATCTCGTTTCGGGATACAAAGCCTGGCAGGGTCGGACAAGGACATTCGTTTCTACACCAGGTTTTTTTTATAAGGTTTGTTTATAAGGCTATCAGGATGTTGTTATGGCCACTAGTTTGATAAACACTTTTCATTTGGGGAAGCTAATTTAAGAAACAAAACTATGTCTAACATGAACAATATTACATTCTTAGATTTGCCACATACAAGCATTTCCTCGCCCTTTGGAAATTGGTGGAGCCTGCAGCCAACACCAAGATGGTGCGGATCACCAACGCCAAGGCATCCTCTGCCAGCAGCTCGGATTCCTCTCAACCATCAACAACGGTAAGCAGCATACAAGCATGGATGTATATTAATAATTATGCACGCTGCACACTATACCACCGTTTAACAAGTGCATCACATCACTCACAAAACACACACACACACACACACACACACACACACACACACACACACACACACACACACACACACACACACANATCCAGGTAAGGGAGCTCCAACACCAGCTGGAAGTGTTACAACTGAGATCAGAAACGAATGTCCTCGTCCGACCCTGCCAGGCGTTGTATCCCGAAACGAGATCTCAGTTGTAACACTTCCAGCTGGTGTTGGAGCTCCCTTACCTGGATTTTCAAGGCTTCGTTCTCGTCGGCCACCTGATTTGCAATCACTGCCGTCGCTGGATTTACAGAGTAGTCATGATCCGGCGGCGCAAGTGTTTCCACCTCGTACTCAGCTGTCAAGTCCGTGGTGGGACTTCTGCCCTCGGCCGACGCTCCCAAACAGTACGTCTTGGTGTAGGTAGCTCGTAGTTATTTCAAGCAAAGAGAACAGGTGTAGCTCCTTTCTTTACTCTGTTCAGTCCTCCAGCTGTGACCAATAAGTCTCCTGGTCGAAAATGCTTACTACCCACACAGGTATTTGTTGTGGGGCTGAAATTGTGCCTACGGACCTTGATCAGCCACTGAGCCTTTACCTCAGCATCAATAGGAAATGAATGGAAACTTATCTCCCGATTATAACGGGACTTATTTGTACAAAGGGGCACACAGCAATGTAGTGTCGACTTTTTTTTTACAACCCCACACCGAAGACCGGAAGTACTCAGGCTCACACCCAGC